TCATTTTAAAATAGATATTGGACTTTCCCGCACTAGTGGGACACGCTGTATATTTAACTTTTCTTGTTTTTTGAATAATTTCTCAACAAAGAAAAATAAATGAAAAATTTTTCACTCTTCGATTTGTTTTTGTCCCCTTAATTAAATCCCAGAAGGACGGACGGCACCTTTAGGACACCCTGTATAGTTCATAAGACAAACAATTTTTATTTTTTGTCGTACTATCACCCCCTGAATTTACGGGAGGTCTTTCTGAAACACCCTGTATAAATATTGAAACTATTTTAAGGCTTAAATGAGATCAAAATGAAAAACGAAAAGATGCAGTACCGGTATTTTCAACCCATTTTCATTTTTTAATGTAATTAAAGACTTGGAAGACAACCGGTACACCCCGTATACGACCGCGCGCCTCCCGAAGAGAATCCCGGGCCAAAGAGTTACGGCCGCCTCACGCCATAAATATTTTTATCAGAGTTCGCGGACTGCATTTCTCAGTCCGGTTCCCTGTCAAAAATAAGAATGTGCTCGAAACTTCCGGGTAATAATGCAACACGCGGACCGGCTAAATCCACATTTAAGAACCCGTTACATATTAAAACCGACTCCAGTTATACAGCATGTTATTCCACATAATACATCTCCGGCTCGGAAGACGTTAACATTCCGAGATGCTTAATTCTGGCGATACCGGGCGAGGTCCCGTAATTGGTCGGGGATTTGCATAAAATTTCGGCGACTCGGCCGACAGAGAGCGACCGTAAAAACGCGGAAACGTCCCGTTTAATTAATGTAAATCGGCGCCGCTAAAGTTAAGAGCACGCCATTATTACGAGCTTTAATTTGGCTATTTGGCGACGCTTTTTAGTTTGGGAATTTGACCAGAGTAATGTCAATCCATCAATGAAACATAGAGGCTCAGATGTAATGGTAATTGAGGTCAATCCTGTATAACAAGAACAATCGTAAATTTACAACACTAGATGAACTGCGACTGTAACATTGTAGCGGGTTTGAAACACCACAGGACAATATAAAATAACAAAGGTACTAATGTATGTTATGAAAGAAGTAGTATAAAGACAAAAAAAGTGAAAATGACCAAAGACAAAATAACTATAAAGAAAAATATCATAAACAATAATATTGGGGAGTTTCATCACAACGTGACAACAACGCTACACAGCTGATGTGCACCACGTGTGCACGTGGCAGGCTTGTCCTACGGAAAAAATGTAAACAACTATTATTGTGAAACATTTAGTAAATTTCAAGACAATTGTTTTCCAGTTTTTAAATAAATAAAATAAAATGTATCGATTTTGTAGTACGAAGATCATGTTGTGATTAATAGTCCAAGCATTATAGAGAAATGCTTACAGAAATTATTACCTGGACAAAAAAAATATGACCGTATAGAAAATTAAATTTTAAATTGAGTTTCTTGTTCTTTAAACTCGATCCAATATGGCGAACATGGTTAAAAAAAATCGCAAAGTTGAAAAAAACGGTTTTTCTAAAATAACTAAAAAAATATAGCACGGATTGAAAAATTTTAAATGAGAAAGTTGTAGGTTTTGAAAAGATCTATCGACTGATTTTATGAAAGTATCGATTGCTTTGTTACTTTTCGAGATATATCGAAAAAACCGTTAAAAATCTTCTCTTTTCGCTTCTTCTATAACTCGTTTACATTTACGTGCCCATATTTGCTATTTACTGCAAGCATAGCCCACGGCAAGCCAAAAAAGTACATTTTTGAAAAATTTAAAAATATTAATTATTTTTCGAGATATATCGATTTTTTGAAAAAAAGGCGCTCTCGAAAATTGGCCAGATCTTCTCAGCGGATAGCCCTACAGTAACGATTTTCGGTTTATTTTCTTCGTAAAGAGTTATATTATCATACTGTTAAAAAATGTTGACGATTTTATTAATTTTAAGGATCAAAAAATGACTTTGAAAAAGTTGCACTTTTTTGGGTATGTAGCTATTTCAATTTTTATTTTATGAAAATGACTTTTAAAGAAAGAAAACTAAACATTTACGGGTCTATTTTGCTTCTAAGGCAAAAATGCTATAATATTCGTGTTTAGCTACCCCAGATTAAGTACAAAAAAATAATAAAAATTGAAATAGTTATTTGAAAAAAACATACCCAAAAAAAGTGCAACATTTTCAGTCATTTTTTGATCCTTAAAATTAATAAAATCGTCAACATTTTTTAACAGTATGATAATATAACTCTTTACGAAGAAAATAAACCGAAAATCGTTACTGTAGGGCTATCCGCTGAGAAGATCTGGCCAATTTTCGAGAGCGCCTTTTTTTCAAAAAATCGATATATCTCGAAAAGTAACAAAGCAATCGATACTTTCAAAAAATCAGTCGATAGATCTTTTTAAAACCTACAACTTTCTCATTTAAAATTTTTCAATCCGTGCTATATTTTTTTAGTTATTTTAGAAAAACCGATTTTTTCAACTTTGCGATTTTTTTAACCATGTTCGCCATATTGGATCGAGTTTAAAGTACAAGAAACTCAATTTAAAATTTAATTTTCTATACGGTCATATTTTTTTTGTCCAGGTAATAATTTCTGCAAATTTAACATTAATCCGTGACAGAATGCTTGGACTATAAAGGGTCTAGCTGTACATCCATGGCGAAACTGTGCTCAACAGGAACCTATGTTATATTGTAGAGGGCGCTAATAGTAGTTGATCGAGTAGATATTAGCTCTATATCTTAGTTAATTTAGGAGCTATTTGAAAAAAGTGTGACGACTTTTTTTCAAAGCGATATATCTTGGTTAATTTCAAAGTTAAGAAAATAAAACTAAATGGCAGTGTTATGGTACACTTTACAGTTTATTTATAGCAGTTCCTACGTGCCAAGCCTAAATAAAAGTATTAAAAAAGGCAAATAAAAATTTTGTAAATCGATTTCTATCAGATCTAATTGAATTACTTTGAAAAAAATATGTAATAATTGTCTACGTCTTGCCTAACAGCATGCCAAGTTTCATTAAAATCCAAGAGGTGCGACATGTCGAAAAATAATTTAAAGTGACTGGACCACCCTACGACTACTATGTTGACGCTTTTTTCATATTTCAATAATCTTTGAAAAAATTGCGTTTTGACAGCTCATAAAAAGTATAGCAACGCTCAGTGGTGTCAACTAGCCTGTTACAATGTTTTTTTATCTACTTTTTTAGCGATTAGCGAATCGAATTTAATTCAGTTTTAGTTAAGATAAAGAATTCTTAATACCATAAGTGTAGTTTTATACATAAAATTAATATATCTACACATGTTTTAATGGATTTGTTTGTCCTCTAGTGTCTACAAAAAACACTCCGACACAGTCCAATTCCAGATACCAACACCAACTGAGTTGCGTATTGCTGGTCAGCTTAGTACCTATTGTTAACCGCCGCGCCGTTGTCACATTGCTCCATATGAATTTTATCGAATTTTAAATTTATTACAACGCCAATTATTTTTATTAATCATAAAGAAGTTAAAAAAAGTGATAAACATCGCATGTTATGGTATTCTATGCACACAGTTATGTCAATATTCCTTAATTAATCGAACTTTTGTACATCAAGTTGGAGATTTTCATATTTTTTTTCTCGAAAATGGCTGAGTTTAGGACCCATATCATATAAGGTTTTTTTTTTGTTTATTTTAATGTACTCTATCATTTGTTACAATTAAGGCAGTCAAACTTCTAACACCCTGTATGTATATAACAGCCACAAAACTAGAGAACTAAACACACCAAAGTACCTCCTATCGGATGATTAAAACCTCAGATGAGTAAGGATCATTTTCAATATGACGTACGCGAAACAAATGTTGAATCTTTATAAATGCTGGAAATATGAGGTAAAGTGAAAAAAAGTCCATCAGATATCTGCTAACGGTTTCCCTAAAATATTATAGAGCTTTATATGCCTTCAAAGTTCATGTTGGAGAAACCCTACAATGTCCAGCTAAACTGAGATGGTAAGGTAGAAATAGTCTGACAATTTGAACACTAGTGGAGTACATTAATCTGGCTAAAACAGGATATTGGAGCAAGGATATTTGGTGTAAATTCCTGAATCAAAAGATTTATGTACCTTAGAAGCAACACAACTGTACTCCAAGCAAGAGTACATACTACTGAACTCTGCAGAAGAACATCAGGATGGGATACAAAGGCAAAAAGATCCTTATCTACGCCAACAGCCAAAGCTCTGGCAAGACAAAATATTACCTTAAAACTGGATCTAGGTCTTCTTACTCTGGCTACCCACACAAAGATGACACTCAAATGGGTACCATTCTATGAAGAAGGGCAATGAAGAAGCAGATATCGTATCTTTTTTATACAAATCGTTGGTGCGTGTGCATAATTTATTGGATAGAACTACCATACTAGTCGCACTGGAGCCACATACACAACAAATCGTAAAATCATAGAAAAAACTGACTGCAACTAAGGATAATCATCAAAACCAATATTTAATGAAGATTAAAACAGTTAAAGGCAACAAACACCTTCATTTAGTGTATAGAGACAGGAACACAATAAGCTTTGGAGCCCACAACTTCTGCTGACTGTACCAATTAAAAAAATATATGTATATAAAATCTGTCTTAACTTTTTGTCTCAAGTAACTGCATTTAGTAAAGGCATATTACAGAGGTTTGTTAATTCGACAGTCAATCGTTCTTGGTCAAAATTGACAAAAACATTTCAAATGGATTAGAGGTTAATTCTGACAGAGCCATAAAAATAGTAGTGTAGGACCCACGTTTTTGTAGTTACATTGATTTAAAAATGTTTAGTTTTTAGTCTATTAGGAAATATTTTCAATTAGTTTCAAATTTCGCTAAATATAGCAAAACAATAACTTATTTATTTATTTCAAAGATGAAAGGTATATGTACTTTTTGATTCCGCGTTTTATTTTTTCAACAAAAAAAATATAAAACTTGACTTACCCTTCAGCTGAGTGCTCTCGATCGCGAACATGTTCAAGGCCAGTAATTGCAGGAATCTATTACAGGGCAACGGAACAGGCGAGTGCTGCAGCAGGGCGCGGAACTCTCTCAGCATCTGCATCGCCGTCTCTTGAAAGCTCTCCATACTGCAAAGAACGAAACCCTTCAATTGCGGAATGGAAAAATTAAATGCAACGTCTGCCTCTTATCAACAATGACTTATACATAGGTATTCCCTCAAAAGCCCTTGTTTCATTCCCAAACGGAATTATTCGAAAACGTAGAACGATGAAAAACGGTAATTGGGATGTCAACATTGTACAATTACGCACCGTCATGTGCTCTCTTTTAATTATAAGAATCTTTGTTAATGAATGAATATTTAATGAATGAATGAATGTATATTTAATAAATATCTTAATCTTGGGGAGATTAAGGAGGTATATCGGGGTCCGAGGGAACTGAGGATCGCAGGGGGGGTCCTATGCTTTTGTTATTGGACTAAAACCCACTACCAACTTGGAAAAAATAAATTCTATTGAAAATATTTGCGATAAACATTATCTAGATAGCAAAGAAATTTACTCAATATGCGCATAACATACATATTGAAAATTAACAACATAAAAATACCATATTTAAGTAGTTTTAAATAATATTTAATGAACGCATAAACACTATGTAGATGTGGCAACAGCGCTAATAATCGAGTGCAGTTGTACATACTGCGAACCTACAGACCTCGGATATCGGAGATATTGCTCGTCAAATTCGGGTAAAGATGCGTACGCGTTCAAAAATGTATTGTGTGTAAACTATGTACAATATAATTATTATCTAGCAAATATATCGTATTATCCTCGTGAAGATTTGTATCCTTTATTTAAAATCCGTAAATCATGTGAGCTGGTAAAACAACGAGAAAATAATTATGTTAATTTAGTTCTAATGAAATGAAATGACACTCGCGCTCATCTCTCGTCCAAGTCAAAGAAAATGTTGGATGCAATTTTGAAGGTTCTGTGATAGAAATTACATTATTACACACTGTTCGTGTTTTTCATCTCTATTTTAGTAAAGTTTTGCAACTATAACTAATTTTTTAGATATAAAGTTTGCTGAGAAATATTTATGTTCGTTTGTTATTCTGTATAAATGCTTTTATCTTAAGTATTACTAATTATATTAATCAAGTAAAGAAAACGTTATGTAACCTTAAATATTGCTGGGTACGGATTACGATGTTTTTATAAACCATTAAATATATTAAAAACTGTATTTTTTATTCAAATAAATATATCACAGCTTCCTAACCTTTTTTAATTAATTTAGTTTTTCAAAAACATTACAAAAAATAATCTGTTGTGGGTAATTTATTATTGATAGGATTGTACATGGTATTTAGAAAAAAATGTATATGTTTGAAATCAATTTCATTTTTATCAAGTCTTTCAAATGTATTCCCTCCTTGCTGTCTGCTGATTGCGACGTTGCCACATTAATCCTCAAGTCAGACAGAAATGCAATTATTGGTTTCTGTTTCTAATTAATACAGCTGTACTATGTTCAAAACTTACATTAGTTTTACATCAAAAATAAGATAATACTGTGTACTATCTATGGAAAAGTTTTGTTTCACAATTTCTACATTTTTTTCTCAGTTATGGGCAAAAAAGAGAAGTCCACCGTCCATCTTCGCCATATAAACCTATGTTAAAATAAACAACTTTCAACAATATCTCAAAATCTAGATTCAAAAAAAAATTCAAAAAAATATGACGCACGGAGGGAGCACTGGGTAATACGCTATATAAATTTCAAGTACATCTGTGGATTTTAGGAAACCCGATATACCTCCTTAAATGACCTATATAATGTTCCAAATATCACAGTAACAAAACAAGCATTTCAATTACCTACATTAGTTAATTATTATTAACTATCCTATTCAGACCTCATCTATTTTGTTCAAATTGCTTAATAACTTGATCGACTGTCCTCAATTTCTCTTGATCCGATCTTTGTTAAACTTCAATGTTCCATTTACAAATACCAGAACTAATTATTTATTCGATATAAAATGTATGTAAAACCAATTTTAGAGATGAATAGCTATACAGGGTGGGCACACGAAAATCCTCGAAAAATTCGGTCACGATCATTTCAAAATGAATTTCTTACTAATAGCCTGCAGGACTACATCGAGGATATACTCGTTAACTTAAAACATGAAAGTTGGATACAACTAGATGAAGCTCCCCCGCATTTTGGAATAGCTGTAAGAGAATAGCTAAATACTAATTATCCGCAACGTTGGATTGGCCGGCTAGGAAGGAATGACATGAATCATGACGTGGTTAATGGTATTGGACCAGTAGCCTGACCACCCAGGTCACCAGATCGTAATCCACTGGACTTTTACGTTTGAGGAAATGTAAAAAACAAAGTTTACGCTATTCCAGTGTTAAGAAGAGATGATTTAGTTTTAAGGATTCAGCAAGCTGCTGCAATAAATTCATTGTATCGAAGTGGGTGGATTACATTTCGAGCAATTTCTTTAACTTGCATTTTTATGTTATTTTATTGTTGTTGTTGTTGTTGTTGTTGTAGTATACCACTAATTAAATCTGTTGTTTTTCCTGTGACAGTTTCATTAGCATAAAAAATGAAATTACTTTTACATTGTATGTGTTGAAACGTTTTTTTATTTTTTTACTCGAATACGCTTAGTGGTACATAAAAATCGAAGAGAGCTTTTTTCTTCCGAATTGAATGAAGCATTTTATGTAAAAGCAGTGGCGTATCAATTTTTTCTTTGCAAAACGTGCTCTCCCGATGATATTAACATCTACAAAATTTAATCGAAATATCTTTAGCCGTTTGACAACAATTAATAAATTTGATTTTTTTAAACCAATCTTGAGCACTTCGTATTTCCTTAAAGAAGTATTTTTTGAATATAGTTTATATATCAAACTCATATTACTTTTTGAATCTCTATCGGTCCGGATCGGAAACTGTACCACCCTGTATATAGAATAACGTTGTCCTTCGATAATTAGTTATGACAGTTCTATAGAACTACTTCTTGTATAGTGGTTCTAACTATATCTATAAAGGCTACAGAGAAATTGATCATCACTACTTGTACTTTTTCCAACATATGGAGAAAACCTAAGATTTGTTCTATATGTAAAAATGAAGATGAGTCCCGAGAGAATAGGCCCAGTATTTAATTTTAGGTCTGTTTCTATAATATGAAGCTTCTACAAAATTCTGGAAATATTACAAAACTTCAAGAGTTAACAACCAATTATCCAGCTGCCAAAACAGATAGATTCATAAAGTCGGTCAACGAACACCAATTTAATTTTTAATCAATTTTGAACCAGTTATCTGAAACAGTTTTTTTTTTCATTCGCTTTTGCAACTACTTACATTATATTTGCACGATAGAAAACAATACGTTGCTTACAATGGCTTTAAGTGTATTAAATTTCTACAATCTTGAGAAAAATGCTTTTTTACGTCCAGAGTTAGATTCATTATTCAGGGTCTTCCATATCTTCGCAGATAATTATCTGTGAATTCAGAAACACCTACATATTCCTTAGTAAATGTTCAGAAATAGAGAAATTATTAATTCGGATCTTATGATGAGATTTGCGGAATCAAAACACAAACCCAATATTTGACCACATTACTATCCACACATACACTAAGCTGCTCCAATATTGATCATTTGAGATTTACTCCCAATGGTTTCAAACACCATTCCAATCTAAACTCCAATTTTTCTCATTCCTCCGCTATTGCTGTTCGCAATCCAGAGAGCTCGTCACCTGACCTAGGATGTCACAATCACTGCTTGTTAAATAACAATCCTCTCGGAGTCTATTCATCCTTCCACCTGCCCGATTCATCGATCTCATTAAATGCAACACAAACAATGAGACGCGCTTGCATAATTTGCCAGACAATAAGGAGCAGCCATGTGACTCACCCGGGCAGGTGCACGCATCAAAAGAAAGCAAGAGTAATATCCGCGCCTATTTAAATATAATGTAGGGATTAGGTACCGTCCATGGGAGACAAGAGACAGCTAAGCAACTAAAACGCTATGCTAACCGGATAGGTACATAAGCTATTGTTCCACCGATAAATCCCAATGTGTAACAATCAGTGGATGCAGATATATGGATGCATAAATAAGCTCAGTATTAAGTCGTTAATGGTCCGGTAAAAGTTAGTTTCTCTTAGTCGCAGGCCGTGTTCCTAAGATGGAATGAATGACCTGTTGCATATTGGTGCCAGTGTTTTGATGTCATGATAGAATAAACATTGAAGTATCGTAGAAGATCATTCCAAACATATACTTTGGTGAAGCTACCGGAATAGTTTACGTAACATATTAAAAAAAATGTAATTTAGTTGCAATACTAGTTATTCTATTATCTATAATAACCTGATGTGGTCCCAAATACATGGACGAACAAAAAACAGGACACTTAGGATGCTACAGATGTGTTAAAAGTTAGTTTCTCAGTCGTAAACGTGTCCAAAGACAATCAAAATGTTACATACTGATCACAATATTTCCAGTCATCAATCGGAGAAGGCGGTCCATCTCAACCAAATAGATATTTTTGATTAAGACAATGGAATGTCCTGGATAACATAATGAAGAGAGTAATATTAGTTGTTCCTTTGTGATATCCTAATATGTAGCAGACATCAGATGCAACATACAGCTGAATAAAAAACATTATTACCATGGTGTGATTGTACGTTACGCCTATACGCATGTGGTGACGTCAATTGAGAGAAAGACAAACGAAATAAATCATGACAATTAAGGCATGCAACTTTTTTCCAAACTCCTAAACATTTCCACATCATTCATTTTATTATGTAAAAAAGATTACATTCCTCCAAATTTCAAATTTGACAAACTATTTAAGGTGACATTCACACTTAGAGTCTACACACTTAACTGACATTCTAAACACGATTAATAGCAAATGTTGATGTGGAAATTACACATTTTATCTCTTACATATTTCGATTAACTTAAATTGTCGGTTTATTATATTATACAGCTACTGTTTGTGTCAAAACGAAAATCTGCAGTTCTCTGCTGACTTTA